TTTTAAACATAGCTGTAGTACTTGAAATCTATGAACATATTGCTGTTAACTTTGGGAAAGTTGGTATTACCTAGCAAAAATGGCAAAGGAAAGATTTGATCTGGGAAGTTGGATTTGGTTGTGCTATTCTATTAGGTTTTGGTATTTTTAAAAGGAGGCCTGTAGGGTTGGTCAGAAGAAAGATGCATCTTCTCGTGGAGAATAACTATAATAGGATTTCTCAGTTTGTGAATGTCTGATCCTGTGTTCAGGAAAAGAGTGGAAACCAGCTAATGAAAACTGCCACTAATCGTGTGTGAGTAGGAATAAAAGTTATTGTACTCTAAATTCTTGAATTGGCTATAAGGGAGGCAGGACATGGGACAGAACACTAAAGATTAGCTCAGTTGATATGACTGGGTACAAAAATGGAATTGATTGCTTCAAGTTAATGTATATAATAGCTACTGTAAGTTTTCATGCTACTGTAAATCAAAAAAAGCTTGCCATGTCCTGCATGGTGAGGTTAAAGAAGGGCTGTTGTGAAAAGTTGCAGAGTAGAATTCAGGGAGTTCGGTTACGAGTTTAGTAACACTTTGGTTTTACTATCCTGTTTTATTTCTAGAGTGATAGTAAGGCTACTGTAACTCTTTAGTCCCGTGACCTTCTTCCAGTTTGTACATCTGGGTGTACATGGCCTCAGTGAAGCTGAGGCCTGCAGTCTGGCTTGATTTGGTTGTTTGAAGGATCCATGCTTGCCTGGTTCCCTGGATAGTGCTTTATTATGAGAAATCAGGTGATGACAAACAAAACAAAGATGAACTGGCTCAGATCCATCTGTAAATAGTGAAAATCACCACAGCACCCTGTGGAGGCCAGAATAAGTCTTGAAGAGGCATTAGATAGCTATGTGAGCAATTTCATTAATGGCTATTCAACTGTGTGATGGAATGTGTCATGTGTGAACTAGTAGCAAAGGTGAGGTAGCTGTCCTGCTTCTTGCAGTATTGGAGGAGGATTTACTGCTGACAAAAAGCTATGCTAGGTGCATTTTTCATCTGGGTTGATATGGCTGGTAACTTCGTATCCATTCTTTTTCATTTTTTATTTTTTCTTCTAATGAACTTAAATATCTTCAGGAAACAAATTCAGGAAGAAATGTTCTTGTACCTTTACTGCAGGAATTTTCAACAGGCTTTTCTTTTTATCTTTTTTGCAGATGGCTTGACAGCTCTTTCATTTTCCATTAGTTCCTTGACTGTGATTGGAATGTTGGCAGCTATCACTTACACAGTAAGTTGTTACGCAAATGTTTCAGCTCTTCATATTCATGATACTTGCACATTGGCTATACCTAGAGAGAAAACGGTTCTCATACTGAAGAGCTTCAACAGTGTGTTTTAGCTCTGGGTTTTCATGGTTTGAAGCACTACTTCTAGGCTCTTGGAATGAGAGGAATAACTTTTTTTTTTTCTTTTTAACTGCAAGTTTAAGAACCATTGTTTCAGTACTTGAGCACAGATCAGACTTCATTTTGAAGTATCCCTGCAAGAGGAGGTCACATTATGCATTATGGCTTGTAACACACGTTCACTGGCTCCTGCTATTTTTATAGTTTTTAAGCCTCTTGTCTATGCCTTCATCCAGTACTGGAGAATTAAATGTTGGAGGTTTTTTTTAATTCATTGAACTATGGCATAACCTAGACTTGGTCTGGTCAGTTTATAATACTGAATATAACCTTTACTGCAACTTCTCTGCATTGATGTTTTCATTTCTCCAGAGCTTTACAATGACAAGTCTGGCAGAAAACTTGATCTGTAAAGGAGTATGCAGAATGTCCTCAATCATAACTGTCTCTTTTTGTAAAAGGCTGTTCTTCAGTAAATGTAAAAGCAATGATTTTAATAGGGCATTGCTTCACAGTTCTGTATTTGCAGGATTTGAGTAAGGGTAAATATGCATGTCAGGGTTCAGTTTTAGCTATGAAGAATCTTCAGCATCTCCTATGATGTGTCTTAAGTCAAAAATAGCTAAAAAGTTAAAACCAAATAATTTAGAGGCTTGCTTTCTAAAGTCTCAGGAATATTCTTGTTAGTCCTAGGTATACAACTAAACCACTGCAGTTCTTTCTATAGCTTTGAAGGATTCCGAAGTGGTCATTCTGTGACCAGCTGTACATTGTATGATTAAGGCTATGTTAGTTCAACGTGACTCTTGCTTTTATGTGCAAAGGAAAGGAACCATTTAACTTACTAGCTTTGGTCAACATGTGATGTTCATGTTCACTCGCTTTTCCAATCTGTTTTATTTCTTCAATTGCTGAGTAATGTTTGTAATGCTACGTGTATTAACTTGTCATCAAGGTAAAATTTTGCAATGAAGATGAAGCTTTAAAGCTTAAGATAACTGTGGGTAAAGCTTTAAAACTTCTGAGAAGTCAGTGTTTTCTTAATAATAGGTTTGATTCCTAATAACTTTAGCTTCATTTGCAGCCTGGCTCAAACATAGTAACTTGTTCCCACATAGCTTTGCTAGTCGATTCTAAATGGCTTTGTAAAAATAGCTCATGCAATAAATTATTTTGAAGCATTGCTAGCCAGGGAGATATTTTGTGGTAGCTTGTTGTCGGGTAAAGCATGAATGAAGAAAATTGTTGTAGAACAAGGATATAAGAAAGGGGGAAAAGTGTTCTACTCATAACTGAGTGAAGGGATAAAGTACCTGCTAAATACTACCTTTAGACTCATAAGCCACTCTAAATTGAGTAACAAGTGTAGCTAATGATTTTCTGTCTCCTCATACTAGTGACTTTGGTTGGTCTAAATTAAAGCAGGATTGTGGGATGCAATTCAGTACATGTTTTTAGTTGTATCAGAACACTGACAGCTTGGTGGTCATTAGGCTCTGTACAGTAGGTAGGAGAGCAATTTGGTGGATCAGCTATAGTAGGTATCTCAGGTGAGCCAAATGGCTCTCAGCCCTAATGATTAAGTGCTTTAACTTGACCTGAATAATAAATTCTAGTACTTCAAGCCTTTTCTGACTGATACGGGTCACTAAATTATTCAGGCTATATTGCTGACATCTAGAGCAAGTGCTGGTCAAAAAAGATCCAGACCTTTGTTTAGCCTATAATAGCATGTCAGCTTTTAAATTTGTTTCCCTGAATTATGGAAGGAAAGATTAATCTCTTGTGCTCTGCAGTCACATAATTGAACATGTAGTATTGTTTAACCTCCATGAGACTTGCATTAAGAACAAACTCATTAGCTGTGAGAATATCCGCAGTGTTGTTTTGGGGTTTTTTTCCAAACATCTGGGTGTATTTTTCTATAACTGTTAGTAAATATCCAGAAGCATCTAAAATGCAAGATTGTTTTATTTTGCACAAATTTACTGCTGATTGAAATGTAAACAATGTTTTCATGGTAAATGAGGTGAAACATAAAACATGAGAAATAAAATAGCCTTCTCTGAATGCCTGAATTACTAAGGTTTTAGGATAACTGTTGCTTTGAAAACCTTGACTGAGCTGTCCATGCAAATGCCTGGAGCATGGAATTGCTATTTACTTTAACTGCAGCATTTTATCTTTCTGAAACTGTCTTGTTTTGCTGTAAGTGTTAAGGCAGCGTGGGAGAAATGGAGGAGCTATTTCATGGAAGTTTTGGGGATGAGCTCACACAGGAGGTGGTTGATATCACCACTTGATACGAGAGTTTTTTTGTCACTGTTTGCAAGCAGTCAAAGAGTCTTACGCTGAAACAGTGAGCTGGCTTTGCCTGGGTGGACTAAGTACAAACGTATCAGAGTGAAAACTGCTTATTAGATGGCCTGTGTTCTCAAAGTTGGAGAAGAAATATACATATTCGTGCTCTAGTGCTTTCATAGCACTTGGCCTACTGGTCAGGCTTCCATATGTAAGCAATCTCCACCCATAACAGCATAAGCAATGCTCTTCAGATGGTCTAAAGACTGAAGACGAGTGTGAGCTTGACAGTATGTGGATGTCATGTGCCTGCATTCCAGTTTATATTGTGGACTGGGCTTTTCCCAGTGGTATAACTTCATGCAGAAGTTACTTCAGTTCAAAAGTTACTTCACTTTCAGTGAAAAGTTCCTAGGCTGTCACACTTCCTTAAGCCTCAGGGAGAGGCTGGCCCAGAGTATAGCCTCTGTCCTTACCAGCTGAGATTACCCTACTCTTTCCACTGGGAGAAGTACGATTCTGGAAGGAGTAACTGTTTTAATCTTGGTAACTTTCCACTTCTTTGCATTGTGGATTTTTTTGCCGTTTGTCTCCTATAAAAAAAATAAAATCACCTCTATATAAGACACAGGCATTAGTGCACAGGCAAGTCTGTGAGGGCAACACCTCTGGCTTTAGATATCTGAAAAGTATGTAGTTAGGCTTATATTTTTCAGCCAGCCTTCTGCATGCCTATCAAATTGTTTGTCCTAGTTTCTAAAGGTGGGAGGCCTTTGTGCTTAGCCATCAAACCACTGTTTGATAATTGGTGATAGATCTTCTTTTAAGCACAAAAATAGAATACCTTTATATAAGGGTGAATACAAGAACAAAGATACATACTTCAAAATTTTTCACAAATGCCTATCATATGAAAAAAAGAACAGAGGGAATAGATGGAGCCACAATGTGTGGTATCTGATTTCCCTTGTCTCTGAACAGAGATGATCTCAGATCTTTGATTTACATTAGTTAAGAGTTGAGGATTTGTAGTACAGACATAACTGATTTATTTTTTTTTTTAATTTTGTTTTCCTGACTTCTGAATAGCCTCAATCCATTGGATTGTCAGTGTTGCAATTGTGTTGTTAAAGGTAATCAGAATGGTTAGAGTTGGAAGGGACCTTCAAGATCGTGTAGTTCCAATGCTCCTGCCACAGGCAGGGAAAACCCCTCCTCCAACCCGGTGCATCCCACCCCATACCTGCCTTTGACCACTGCCAGGGATGGGGCAGCCACAGCTTCTCTGGGCAACCTGTGGCAGTGTCTCACTACCCTCACAGGGAAGAACTTCTTCCTAATATCTGATTTGAATCTACCCTCTTTTAATTTAAAGCCATTCTTCCTTGTCCTATGCCTACATGCCCTTGTACAATGTCCGTTTTTATAGAAGGTGGAAGCAAGGACAGGCAGCCTGGGAGTAATGCAGGGACATTGTCTGGCAAGCTAGGGATGAGGTCAAGAAAGCTAAGGCCCAGTTAGGATTGAGTCTGGCCAGGGATGTCAAAGGTAACAGGGGTGTTCAAGGCCAGGTTGGACAGAGCCTTGGGTGGCATGGTTTAGTGTGAGGTATCCCTGCCCATGGCAGGGGGGTTGGAACTAGGTGGATCTTAAGGTCCTTTCCAACCCTAACTATTCTATGATTCTATGAAAGGCTTCTGTAGGTATGTTGTAAAGTAGGGATAACGTGGTCCTCTCCAGAAGCTATTGGGAGAACTAGCTACCCTGGATTTGGAGAAGGCTGAGGTTCTCAATCACTTCTTTGCCTCAGTCTTCTCTGGCAAGTGCTCTAATCACACCACTCAAGTCTTGGAAGGCAAATGCAGGGACTGTGAGGATGAAGACCTTAGATCCACTGTAGGAGAGGATCAGGTTTGAGAGCATCTTAGGAACCTGAATGTGCACAAGTCCATGGGACCTGATGAAATCCATCCACGGGTCCTGAAGGAGCTGGTGAATGAAGTGGCTAAGCCACTGGCCATCATATTTGAAAAATCATGGCAGTCAGGTGAAGTTCCTGACAACTGGAAAAAGAGAAATATAACCCCCATTTTCAAGAAGGGGAAAAGGGAAGACCCAGGAAACTACAGGCCAGTCAGTCTCACCTCTGCGCCTGGCAGGATCAAGAAGCAGATTCTCCTGGAAACCGTGCTAAGGCACATGAAGCCTAGAGAAGGCAGCAGCTGAAGGGAGAGTGCAAAAAGTATGGAGCCAGGCTCTTCTCAGTGGTGCCTGGTGATGGGACTAGAGGCAGAGGGCACAAAGGTCACAAACTGAAACTAAGGAACTTCTCTGTGGACATCAGCAAACTCTTTCACTGTGAGGGTGACCGATCACTGGCACAGGTTGTTCAGATTGTGGGGACTCCCTCCTTAGATATATTCCAGAGTCATATGGACACAGTCCTGGGCAAGCAGGTCTTGATGACCCTGCTTGACCAGAGATGTTGGACCAGATGATCTCCAGAGGTCTTTTCCCGCCTCAGGCATTCTGCAGTCTGTCTACTATGTGAACTTGCAGGATTTATTGTGGCATTTAATAT